ACTTGTTGTTGTTAATCTTGCCTGCCTCGACTGACTCTTTTTCTTCATTGTAATCTCGAATCCAGGTACACTCTTGTCTCCAGTTGAATGTGGAATCTTGGTTCAAGTGTATAAATGATCCAGAAAGTCAATGATAAGGAACTTTTGTTAATCTGAACCTATTAAGAATTGTTGTAGTTTTAATACTCCAATTAGATTACTTATGTTGTCAAGAACTATATTGAACTACTAGACTGATTTTGGTTGTGTTTTTTTTTTTGGCTGATTTTGGGTTAAGTTAACAATTAGCTTGGTTTAGTTTCACATTGATAGTGTAATGCATGATTTTAGTAGGCTCCTGGGTGTATTCGAATGAACTGTATGAGATTGTATTTGGACTGAAAAAATGAATTTCGAGTTAGCTAGATCATGTGAATTATTGGATTGTTTAAGTATTAGATCCTCTTTTGTAGTTCGTCATTAAACGATTGTATGGTTAGTAATAAATTAGCAGGCAGTTAGAACAACGTGAAGTAATTGATTATGTTATCATACGTCAAGCCCAAGTTAAGTATTAGACTAGTAAGTATAGTTCGAGCTAGTATCAAACTAGTTAGCCTGTGCTGAGTAATCAATCTCCAGTAGGAATAAATAGATACATATCATTATTCCATACGTTCAATTATCAAGTGCATATTGCAATAGCGTGAAATAACTGAGCATGCCATTCATTTTCTTTTAATTTGAAATTTGTTTGGTAAGAATCAAGGATCAGTAGCTAATTAAAAGTCTTGAAGTGGGCCTATTAAATACCTTTCTCGTTTGGGCAAATTTTAAGGCCCGCGCTCGAACAGTCTTCGTTAATGGATCGTTGTTTCAATTCATATTCTTCGGGTTTACTTTTGAGCCCAATGGTGCGTTTATTTTAAAACTATTGCTTGACCCGTATTAGACCTGAAACATTTTAATTAGGATATTTTCTTTTTTTTTAGAGACAAAAAAAAATCATAGTTGCTTTAAGGCTTGCCCTTTTAAAAAATAAAATGAGACGAGCCTCGCCAAAAAAAATGCACAAACTGTGGGGCTCTCATAAATGTATATATTAAAAATACTTAGAATACGGGATGAGCCGTCTAGCGAACTTCACGGCTTTCCCCAAAGATAATAACGCGTTAGACTCTTTAGGCGCGATTTTAATTAAATTACATTCTTAAATTCGGGTGCGCATTTATGTGACCTAAATCCAAATCTCAACGGAGTCGGAATATATTAACAACCACGGGTGCATTGATTGCGACGTGGTTCGAGATGCATTTTCACGACGTTGCAATTCTATTAAAAATAATAATAAAAGCGGTGTAATCTTAATAAAAGCACACAAGTTATAACATGTATTAAAATCAGATATTTAGTCATTATAACAATTTAAGCGACCGTGCTAGAATCACGGGATCCGTGGGTGCCTAACATCTTCCCTCGGGTCAACAAAATTCCTTACTTAGAATTTCTGGTTCGCAGACTTTATTTGGAAAGTCGAAAATTTCCTCGATTTGGGATTCAAGATAAACCGGTGACTTGGGACACCAAAAGCTAAACCTTTCCCAAGTTTCGACTCTGAAATAAATAAATAATCTCATTTTCGAATAATGTCACTTAAAATGGAAAAACTCCCTCACGCATTTTTCCTTCAGGGTAGGTACAAAAAAAGGAGGTGTGACACAGAGTACCCTTAAAAACAAGAAACTGAACACACTCATACTAAGGAAAAGAGAGAAAATGTAGAGCAAGCTAGAGTTTCATCTTTTATTCTTCCAAGAAGTCAATTTAGAGCTACTCTTGCTCCTTGTGATTTGTTGGAAACAAGTAGAGGTCATCTTTGCTTGCTGCAAAAACTCTACTACACTATTAGCCTGTTTGAATTGGCTTAAAAGCTGGTCAAACTAGCATTTAAGCCATTTTTAGATGTTGGGAATGTTTGGCAAAAAAGAAAATAGCTTAAAAAAAGTTAAACTGGCTTAAAAAAAGCCACAAGTTGGTTGATCCCAACTTTCTTTTTCCAGCTTAAAAGCCAACTATCTTTGACCAAGTATTTTATCCTCTTGTCCCTAATAATATTTATTATTCCAAAAATATCCTTCACAAACTTTTGAAATAATTATAATATCCAACTCAAACTTTTAAAATTTGTTAAAACGTGAACTTACTTTGAAGTTTAGCTTTGCTTTGAAACGTGAATACGACATTTACCTAATGAAGTTTTCTTACTAAATAATTAAAACATGAGATAGGAAATAGGACTCCTAAACCTAAAAGGAAGGAAAAAATAGTCCTAAATATTAGTATAAAATGATTAAACATTTATTAGAATGTGATAGTCATTTCATATGTTTCCCAGTAAGTTTGGAATTTCAAGAAATAAATAAAAAATTTACATGGTTGAAAGAAGTGAAAAATAAGAGTTCAACAATTATATTTATAAAAATTATCTTAGGTGATCAGTTCAAATATCAATTATTTCGTATTTATATTAATAAGTTTAAAATAAAATATTATAGTAATAAGCTTCTTTATAGTATTAACGGCTTTAAGGATATTTCAGTCATTTTAATAGAAAAAGTGCTTACCAGCACTTGTTTACCAAATATTTCAACCGCTTTTTTCCAGCTCCAGCACTTTTATCCAAACGCATAACTGTTTATTTATAAAATCAGCTCCAGCACTTAAAAAAAGTAACTTTTAAGCACAAGTGCTTAAAAGTACTTTTTTTAAGTCAATCCAAACGGGCATTATGCCTATGGTCAAAATTACACACGCCCCTGATAGCTCGGCCCATTTAGGAGTAAGAAGATATTAGAAAGGTCAGGTCAAAATTACAAAGTTGAATCATCTAATGCTTGAAGAAAATCACCCAAAACCTTTCATTTCACGTCGTATATGCCTATGGTCTACTGCTCCGTTCGGAGGAATTATTGAGAGGAAGAAAACAAAGACATGAAAATGAAAGGAATCAGTAAGAGAAGTCTTTTGCATGGCCTGCAAGAAAATATAGACAACCCAATGAACAAGTTTTCCTCGTCTTTTATTTCTTTTTGTATTTTCCTGGGTGATTGGTCCCCATTTTTAATGCAATAATAATTCATCACTTTGCACCTTTCTTTGCTATTGTTTGACAAGGTCAACTCTTTTATTTTTCACCCCACCTTTTGTGAGCGTGTTAGTTTAAAGACATCGAGACGGAGGACTTTTTATAAAAGTTAGCAAGCTGAAAAAATTGTGTTAAATTTTGTGGCCGACAAATGTGTATAATTTTCCAACAATATCAGTTGAAAAATAGAGTAAATAACTGCAATAATAAATTAAATTATATTGGCAGCGTAAAAATATATAATGTCAAATGAGTGTATATATTAGATTTGTCAACCCGAATTCAGAAATATGGAAATTTTTCTTATATGTGCTATTTTTCAAACTTATTTACCTGGATCGTATAAAGTTTCCTATTTACTAGAGCTAAGTGATTTTTTTCCAAATTATATACATTCTCCTTAAAAGGCTCCAAAGTTATAATTAGTTCCTTCGATTAAGAGATTCAATTATACCTTTTTTTTTCTTTGTTCTTCCTTCTCCTCTCTCCTTCTTCTACTACCGCCTCCTTCCCTCTTTTTCACGTGCGATATTGAGATTAAATTTTGGAATTTTGTATTAACATATTGGAACATCAAAAGAGGATCCACCTTTCATATTAAAGTTTCTTCATAAGCTCATTTAGGAATAGACATTAATACACTTTGATTTAATTTTGAGAAACAAAAGTCGCGTCTTTAGTCCAGATATGCATGTGAAATCACTCTTGGAGAATATATTTAAGTTTTAAGTCACCGAAAACTTTACCAAAAGAGAGAAGTTTTTATTTCTGAATATCTATGGCGAAATTGGGGAATAATCAATACAATGGCACAACCTGATAGGACAAGTTTAATATAACTTTCATATAACATTCATACACAAATAATAACACTACAACAGAGTACAACTAAAAAATAATTTTCATACAACTTTAATACAATTTTGATACGTATCAATAACTTTATGTAAAAAGAAAGTATTTATAACTTAAATATAAATTTCATACAGTATACAACTTCTTTCCAACTTTTATACAACGTTCAAATAAGAAAATACAACTACAATAAAATACAACTTAAATAAAATTTGCATACAAATTTCATACAACTGCAATATAACCCCAATACGATTTTGTATGCACATTATATGTCATGTGTTCTTTTTAATCTGAAAATTCAACCAAAATCAACTCTAATCTTCATGAAACATCTTCAAAATTGAGATATAAACTCAAAGAATATTCTCAAACGCTCGTAACAACCCCAATCCAAATAAATAATATATTTTTTAAAATTCGAATTCGAATTTAAAGCTTCAAAGCTTTTTAATAATTGTCAATGATGGAAAGTCAATCACCTTCAAAATTTATTGGTTGATAAATTTTAATTTGAACACCAACTGTGGAACATGAAAAGAAATATTGCTAAGTTAAAACTTCTTAGTAAACGATTGAAATTCATTGATGAATTTTCTGGAAAAAAAAAGGGAAGGAGATGAGAAAAGAGAGAGAAGCAGAGGAGATTGAAGTTGAGGAAAGAAGAGAGATGGAGAGAGAGAGAGAAATTTAAACTGATATTCCTTATTAAATTCCTAATATTGAGGGATACTCATTTGGTATTAGTTTGTATATAATTGATAATTATATATTAATTTGTAATTAAATTAAAATTTCAATAGTGAGAGTAAATAAGTTTTAAAAGTAGTATAGCTAAGTAAAAAGTTTCAGAAATATCCTGGTTCCTGAGAGTATAGAAGATGAAGAAATGTTGCGTTCTTGCTGTACGGACCCGTCCGTAGATGTTGGGCCGATTGTGTTACCCAAGTCCATGGGCTACATTCAAAATTAGCTTAAAACAATAAATAATGTCATATTACTGGTCAGCCCAATAGTAGTTCTACTACATCAATACATTGAAGTGAGTTAACGTTTTAGAAGGAAAAAAAATGAGCAGCGTGAGGAAAGGGCCGCCGAAGCACCAGAACAAAGTCGCCTGGAAACCTAACGCCGGCGTCAAAATCAATGAAACCGTACGCTCACCTTTTACTCTCCGGCCATTAAACATTTGAATTGAGTGTCAACCATTGATCGGTTTTGCTTTTTTATTTTGCAGGAAGTGGGTGGAAAGTTTAGGCCTTTCTCAGACATAACAGGAGTATGCCTTCGTTGTAAAGATCAAATTGAATGGAAGCGCAAATATGGAAAATACAAACCCCTTACTGAACCTGCTAAGTGGTACACCTTCTACTTCTCTCCTTGTTCAAAAAAATTTCTTTTTGTTTTTTGAAAAAAATGCCAATATTTAGGTTGTTAAATTATAGAAGATGAAATTGGACACATGTACTAGCTTAGCAAAACCCATATATAACTGGTTAAAATTTCTATAGTATGTATTTATACTATNTTTAATTTTTGCTAAATTGGATATAAAAATGCCAATATTTAGGTTGTTAAATTATAGAAGATACAATTGGACACATCTACTAGGTTAGCAAAACCCATATATATAACTGGTTAAAATTTCTATAGTATGTATTTATATGTTCATTGAAACTAGTGAACTGTGGTACTCCACAGCAATTGACTTAATATCCTGTTTTTATTTTAAAATTATGATAGTCAGAAGTGTTCGAAAAGAAACGTGCGTCAAGCTTACCACAATCTCTGCACTGGTTAGTTTTCATTTCTGTTTTCATTTGTTTTGTTTTGTTTTATGCATATTTGTTACAGCATAATGAAAATCCTATATTGCGTTATGAAATCTGTCAAGTGTTTGGTTTGATGATTTTGCATTTATTTGAAAATTCAACAGGCTGTGCAAAGGAGCATAATGTATGTGCCAAGTGTTCATGTCGTGTTGGTCAATTGGTTGGAAGGTTTAAAGATTCCTCCTTCCCNGTTTCAATTTTCGTAGCCTTATCCTTTGGCTTTTTTGTCAGCTGCAAGATCAGCGGGTTATTTGTCAACCTATGAAGCTGATGGTTTTGTTATTGGTTACAGGCTATCAAGAATGCTCGAGAACGGGATAGGCGGTCACTTCTACGTGCTGTAAGAGAAATTTCTGCTGAATTAACTTTATGATAAATGTTTTCTGGTAGATGTCTGCCTTGTTCTTGTTCCTAGCGCACCCCCCCCCCCC